GGCCGCTACCGGCGGCGCGGGCCCGGGGGCACCGGGGACGACCCGGGCTGAGGTGGTTGTAGATGCTTTTGTATTCCCGGGAAGCCGCCGTCACTGTAGCCCGCTGCCAACTCCTAGATCTTCCTACCGAGACCGAGAGCTGGTCTCTGTGCCAGTCCTCCTCTTCAACAGGCAGCTGCTAATAAATCTCTCTCTCCTTCCCGTGAAGCAGTATCCTGTCTGTTTTCTAGTCTTTCTAAGTATTTTCATAGAAATTGCTAAGTCTTTTCTTTCTTTGTTTTGCAAGTCCTTCCTTCCTTCTATTACTTAGCATCCTTCTTCAAACCATCCCATGTTCCATCCTAAACATTTGGTATTTTTGTGGATGCAATAATTTTGTGTCATGGCCTTTTAATTGGCTGGAGCTGAACTTTTTGCTTTCTTCATTTTCTCTTTTCCCATATGCATCAATGTCACATTTAAATGTAATGGCTTTTTCTTTCTCAGCATCTTGGCATCTTTGCAATAAAATATCTGCTTTAGGTTTTATAATATTCTATTTTGACTATGGCAGTGCAGTCACTTCTGTCCTTCTGTCTTGGATTCTTTAATTCCAAATTGTTATTGATTTTCTGTGCTCTCTAGTTAAAGTAATACAAGCATAGTCTTTAAATTCCATCAGTTGCCCATGCCTTAAATTCACATGGCTTTTAATCCCTGGGTTCTGTGCTCTCCTGCACATTAAACTGTCCTTCTGTTGAGTTATTTCCTCTCTACCATTTTCATGACCACTTTTTTGGCGTTAGACCAGCTAAGATTGGTACAACTTACTCTTCTGAACACTTATCTGCCTCTCTGCTAGCAATTCTAAGGCTGAACATCTGTGTGTGCTGAAACAGAGGGGAGGGAAGGAAGAGGTTCAGTAATACCTAGCTTGATGTATGTGCCATGAAAGAATTGCTAACCAGTGATTACGACACTGTTTGTTTAATTTCATCCTCAAGGATTTCAGTCCTAATATGCTGATAATACTTTTAAACATTAATGTCATTCTTCATCTTTTAGTACCACAAATTCAGGTGCACAGCCTGATAATAAGTTTTTATTTGTAGCTGTAGCAATTTTTTAAATTAACAGATTTTGACCCGACTGTTGTAATGTATGTTTGAAGTCCCTTGTTTTGGTGGGGGTGTTTTGTCACTTACAGTTATGTGGTGCTGAAGTGGGTTTTTAAGAATCTCCAGAAATCCCAGCTTGTGGACAGGGTTAAAATTTTTATTAAATTGTTAGGATCTTTGAAGTCTAAGTTTTACTTCTTCTTTGTCTATGCAAACGTCTGTGTTGTTCTTACAATGTCTGATTTCCTTTCAGCTTCTCGTTAAATTATACCTAACTTGTTACATGATCATTCTCATTTTCTGACTAGGAGAGAAGCTCTCTCAGCCTCAGTGACCTGTTTTGTTGAGAGTTTACATGTTGATTTTCTGCATCAAAGAGACATTTCACATAATGCAATTTTCATTCCTGATTCTGCACTTAATTCAAGCAATTCAAATTATTCAGGACTTTGCTGTCCTTCTTTTCACTGGATGATTCCCTCTTAAGTACCAGGTTACAGCCTCAGTTTTTTGTCTAGGGTTTTTATTTTGTTTAGATAGCCTTCTGTTGTTAAAAAAATATAAAACCTTGCATGTTTACATGAAAAAATCCTTAGTGTTGTAAGAATGCTTTAAAGTGTGTAAAAGATTAATTCTTCTTACACTATTAGAAGTCTTCAGTTTCATATTTTTTTAGTCATAACTTTTTTTTAGCCCTCCACTCTCATCTCGACTTCTCTTGTAGAAGCAAAATGCATGTGCAGAAAAAACATAAACAAAACTGAATTGTATCAACATATACTATCTGACTTCTTTATATATGTTTTCAATAAATGCGAACAGTAATGCTTGGCCTGTGTTTCTCTAACAATTATAGTTTGTTAGCACCTATGGCACCATAAATGTTAAGATGTTATTTTCAGGTAATTTCATTTGTTTGGTGGTATTTTTAATGACAGAGAATCAATTACTTGCTTTTAAGAAAGTAAAAATATGGTATTACCATTTATCAGAATCAAAGAGTAGGCCAATAAATAACTAATTATTTTTTGTTTGCTTTGCATATTCTTTTCCAAGGGGACTGGCTCTGACCTTCCATGAACATACAACATATCCAGTGAGCACATGACTGCTCAAAAAAAAGATCAGTTGCTACAAAAAAACCCTCTGTTGATACTTTTTCTTTGGAATTTTTTAGGAGTGAGATTTAAGTGTTCTGCATTTACAATCTCCATATTATATTTAGCCATGTAGACGGGAAATTAAAACTTAAGGTGGGGGTAGAGAGCATGAGGCAAAGTGTGATTTCTGCTGACAAAGCATGTTGTTTGCTCATTTGTGTTGCTTAATAAATGCCAAAGGCTGGGGATCGCGCTGCTTAAAGCACTAATTGACCAGTTATTAAATAATAGCCACATGAATTAAACAGTCTCATGGTCTCTTCCTTATTTTGGAATCTCTGTTAGAGATTGCCTCCTTTACCTGTAATGATTTTCAAATCCTATTTCTGCTTTTAAAACAGTTTTCTACGTGGCCAATTTACATACAGTGCATTAGATGGTGTAATTGATTTTAAATTGCTCTGTTTTTTCCTGTTACTCAAATTTAGATGGTCTAATCAGTGTATGATTCAGCATGATGGATAATTATCAGAAAACCTAAGCATCAGGTGATAAAAATGCAAAGAGCAACTGACAATTCTCACAGAAGTGCTGCAACTGTGTTGAAGAGGGATTTCCAAGGGGGAGTTTTCTGCTAATTAAAATAGAATTAGTTGGATCATGAGGAGAGGAGAGAGACACCTCCCCACCTTTTTTTTTTTTTTTTTTTTAACAGGAGTAAGTGTGAAAGTTGGGGAGGAGAAAAGTAATGAAGACAACATAAATTGATGGGTAGTTGGAAGACAGTGTTAGAATATCCCTGCCTAAGTAACTTTTTCCTCAGCAAAATTTTTTGGCAGGCTTTCTCCACTGTGAAGCTGTATTTACACTTGTAAATTAAACATATATGGAAACCTCCTTGGACACAAACAGCAATTGGCATGAAAAGGCCCACATCTATGCTAGTGAATTCTCTTATCTTCCAAAACAAGGCAGTAGGACAGAAAGTGCTTGAGGAATGACCTTAGGAGTCCTTACATCAAGCTGAGAAGTTGCTGAGGAGAGTGGTGGTTGTCAGAGGCTGAATCCATGCCAGGGGCTGTTGTCCCAGTAACGAATATTGGCAACTGCACTTCACTGAATTTGCTGCTGTTAACATAGCTTAAGGCTCCTACAATTATTCTGGCTCCCATAAAGGGTTGAACATGATAAAAAAAGTTTCCTGCTCTGCATCCCTCAAAATGACTGGGTTTGGATCTTTCTTAAATAGTAAGACTATGTCAAAAGCAACAGCAGCATAAAGGTAACCAAAATTAGCTTGTGCTCAGATGAAAATACTGGAAGAATTATCAAGGATAGAATATGTAGGTACTAAAAATAGAAGGAACCAGGAGGACAAAGTGGGTGAAGGGAACCAGGCAGTGGGATTGGTAAGGAAAAGTTAATCACAAAGCTGAAGGACAATAAAGAAGGAAATAAAAGAAATGTCAATGCTGAAGGAAATTGGAAAAAGTCTAATAAATTAATATAAATACAGCCTTCTTCATAACCCTATATTATCTACTTGACGGCTTAAAATTCTGCAGAACTAGAATTGACTGTTTTCTCACACCCTTGTTTGGTGCACTTCATTATTAAAGCCAAGCCAAAAGAACAATAAAACCCATGCTGAAACAATGACAGGAGACACTTGCTTTTCAAGATAATTTTTTTGTTTTCAATGCATAAAAATAAGAGTTGTGTGTTGTTGTTTTTTTTAAATAAAGATTTTTTTTTTGATGGAAGAATCAGAGTAAGTTCATGTATGAGTTGCTAATGGGCTGCAGCAGAACAAAGGTGTGAAGTGCTGTGCGCAGCGGCATCATGTCTCTGAGCAAGGTGATAGTAGTTTATTGTCTAAGATATAAATAAATATCTTATGTGTTAGCAAAAAACCCTTTTATTTACAAAATTTCCATTAGTCAGAATTTAACAAATCAAGTATGGCTTGATATGCAGTCTTTGTAACAGTTTCTGTTTCTAACATGCTGAAACAGTATATTTTTGTTTTTAGACTATAAACCAGTTTGTAAGATAGGAGAGGGAACATTTGCTGATGTTCTGAAGACACTGAGTCTTAGGGATGCAAAGTACTATGCATGTAAACGCATGAAGCAACCATTTCAAAGGTATGTAGTGATAGTACCACAGAAAATTGTATTTAAGTTTGGTGGGGAAGTGTGAAATTAAGACTAAGTGAAGTTTGAGTACACATGTATTAAAAAGGTTTGCATGTAGTACAGAAAGGGAATTCTGCTGCTGATAATGCAGGACCTTCCCATTTGGCATTGGGGTTATTTCCCTGGGTGCTCTAATTGATGTCATCCACTGTACTAAGTGCTGCCTGGCCACTGGGTTGAGGGCGGAAGAAGAAGAATGAAAACTGTCTGCATTTCCAAATGCACTGTGTGTGTTTGTCATGGTTTTGTTTTTGCTGTTAATAATAATACTAGGAGGAAATGTGTCAGTTCTCTCCCTGGACAATACTTTTTTCAGTCTTACTTAAATACTGCTTTAATGGAATTTAAAACCACTGTGTTTATCCTCAGTTCACATATAGCATTAGTTCATATTTGCATTTATATTTTATTATATCCATCAGCGACTTGCTACATGGTCACAAATAGATGCTGTTTATCAGTTAGGAACATAGAGGAGAGGGCTGTGTGGAAGTGGAGGTAGACTTGATGTTCTCCTCCAAATATACAAGTGCCAAACAGTGCCTTTTGGGTCACTGACTTTGTGTTCTCAGTTAAATACATTAAGTTCCCAGTGAAGTCAGTGGGAGTGACACATTAATACGTATAAAGTAAAATGGGACATTTTGCTCCTTCATGAGATTTCACAATGTAACTCAGAGCTTCAAAGACTGTAAGCTAAAAAAAAAAAAAAAAGAAAAAAAAAGAAAAAAAAAAGAGAGAACTGAAATATCTTCAAATGATGTTAAAGAACTCTTGGTCCATTTGTACATTACCTACAACTGAACAAATTGTCCAATTTATGGTCAAAAGAGCATTTAAACTAACTGCGTAGCTACATCAAAGAAAGATGATGCACAATTCAGTGGTAGAGTGTAACAATAGGGCATAACAAGCAGATTCTTTTTTTCCATGTAGCATGTTTAAAACATCTTTTTAGGCCTTTAACCCTTTGATGAATTGACCGACTTATTGTTTTGATGAACACGTTTTGATGAACGTGTTTTGATGACATGTTCTTTTAGCAACAGATAACAGTGTTTTAACCTGCCCATACAAGCTCCTTCTAGTTTCAAATTGGAAAATACTGTTTTGGTGTTTACCTTCAAGTCTGACTGTGAAAAGGCTTCTATGTCCTGTTCTGATCCATTAAATGTGTGCAAAACTCTGTTTCCTGCTTCTTCCGTAGAGTTTCTGTAGCTTGTAGTTTGTTAAAATCTAGAAGGGCAACATACCAATGAAACAATAGTTGAATGGTGTCTATTTTTCATGGGTTTTTTCATGTATTTTTCATATTTTTCAAAACTTAAAATTAAGTGTTAAATTTGGCAGGGCTAGATTGTCACTTTCAGTCTCCTGCTGAGCAGTAGTTGGAATGTATGCTACACCAGTGCAGAATAAGCAGTATCATGTATACTGTTATGCAGCACAAAATTCCTCCCAGATAGTTTCTTGGCATGGTAACTGATGTCTGGAGCACAATACATTACTACTTATCTAGTTTGGGTAAGTCCATGTACTCCAGCCTGCAAGAAGCAGGGAAGCCATTCCGCTGATCACTGATATGCTCTATAAGGAAATCAAGCGGGCAAACAATTTATCAGGCCCTGTGTTAAAAGTTCAGTTACAGAACAGAGTAGAGTAGGTCCTGTCTCATGACAGGAAAGAATGAATTATCATCCAGTCCCTGCCCGCAAGTCAGTCTTCCACTTTTCTTTTTAATTCAACTTTAGTATGAAACAAGTGAATGATCTGAGAGAAGTAAAAGCACTAAGAAGGCTGAATCCTCATCCTCATATCATTACGTTGCATGAAGTTATTTTGTAAGTATGGTAATAATTTATTTATTTCTTATTCCTTTATTTGAATGATATCCAGTAACTTTTAGGTATAGAGGCAACTAACCTGTAGCCACTTAAACATCTTATTTTTTTGCCCCCACAGAACAAAAAAAAACCAACAAATTTGTCAAATTCTGAAGTATCCATGCCTTGTTGTTAAGAAAATCTGATGTAGCTCTCACTTGCTCTGTCTCTTTTGCAGCATACCAAAGTTATTTCAATGTCACAATTAAAATTACAAACTAGATATATTGTACGTGTATCTAAACTTCATACAATAATATGTACTATTTGCTGGCAATTTCAACCCATGTGCCATATTCATTGGGTGCTTTAACTGCATGACATCACCTCTACTGGAGACTGTTTCGGTCAGAGCTTATCTGCTGAAATAGGCTGTAGTACTTCAGGGGTCTTTGTCAGTTTGAACTAGGGATTGAGGCAAACTAATTGGCAGTATCATTTCATAGGAAGCTTTACAGACACTCCATTGCAATAATAGAAGTTTAGATCTCTAAATTAGGCAGCAGCTGAACTATGAGCTTGGAAATAGATCAGTCAGTGGTGAAGTTGGGTTCCTTAGCCCTGTTAGACACTTAAGTGTCACCTGCAGACCTGTTCTGTCTCACAAAGAGATCAGGTTTTATAACAGCATCTACTCCATCACTGCACATTAAATGTCATCACTATGCAACAACAGTCATACACTTTATTATTCAAATGCTTGACACAAAACTTGACTGCTCTAAAATATTTTTTTCAAGCTCTTCAGGCTGTTTTATTCCTCTGCTTAAGGCTCTGGTACTGTACTGTTATTGACAGGGCTGTTTTCTACAAGTCTTTGGGAAGCCAGTAATGGTGTCAGCAGCTTAGCTTTCTGGAATTCTCAGCTTCAGCTGCTGTGTTGGTAACAAAGTGTAATCCAGATGGCCAGCCAGCTTGCCTAGCTCCTTCACAGTCTGTCTGCAAACTGAATTGCAGATTGTACCCCCAACCATTTGCTGTCTGAGTTCATGCAACAGAGGGGGTGTACTTTAAAGCAGTTATCTTAAAAAAAACCTGAAGACCTAAAGACATCTGCCCCTGCAGAGCAGTGAAACAGAAAATAGTGTCAAATCTATTATAATATTGTGATAATACTTAAGTGCTGTTGTCAGCAAAACACAGGTTCCAGTTAGATACTCAGTTCCATGCAATAGAACAAAAAAGTATTTTCATATACGGCAGAATGGCTTTCTTATCTTTTCTTGTAAGATGGTATCAGTTAATTTACTGGACATTTCATGGTACTGAACAGTGTGATATGCCCAGAAAAACATGCCTTCAAGTGACTTCATGGAGTAAATCAGTTAACTTTTGCAATGGACACTTTGGATAGCATAAACTAAAACTAGGATATCTCAGGCCCTAAGTTGAAAAAACTTCTATGAGAAAATACCAATTAAAAATGCAAATGTCATTTTTTTTATACTGGTTGAACTAAGAACTCTTTTCTATGCTGTGTACAAATCAACATTTCTGCCTTAAAGTCTCCTTATTTGTTTCTTTAGTGATAAAAAAGATGGCACCCTTTCACTGATCTGTGAACTTATGGACCTGAGTATTTATGAACTGATAAAAGGTATGTAGCTTATCCTTAAGGAACACACTCTTGTATAGTGTAATTAATTGTTTTTCAGTTGGTTGTTGACTGTTAGATGTTATAAAACTCGAGAGAGTTTTTGTGCTGTAGTACTTTACTCTTTATTTCTTTCCAGTGCAATATACCCACTTGTTTAAGGCATGGATGTATGCAGAAGGTTTGTAATTAATCAGGTCAGTGGACATCTATTTCTGCAGTCAAACTTTATACAAAAACAGGGAAATAATATTGACTGCAAAACACAAAATAATTCCTTTATGTAAGAAAATGTACAACTTAAAATAGGCTATTTGTTAGGACTGTAATGATATAAGAAGAAAATTACTTCATTTGTTCAGAAACTACTGAATCAATAAATAGTGATTTTTCAGTTATTGTATCTAGTTGAAATGCTTTTAACCAAATTTTCTCTATAAAATTAACATTATTCCTGAAACCTCCTGTACTTAACAATTCTGGAGCTGTTTATTGAAGCAGACAGGAGACCATAGAGCTTAAAGCAGAGTTCCTACAAACAGTTTAGAAAAAAAGCTGATTTAAAACCAGATCTCATATAGACACCAAAGGCGTTGGAGACAGTAAATGAAGGGATACTTGTAATTCAATACTAAAAGAGGATTTTCTGAGTAATTAAAATTGTGTAATGTCTTAACAGTTGGGAGAGTCATTTAAGTAACTGAGCATGCAACTGTATTTCAGTCTAATGGAATGGATAAAAGACCTGCTCCCAAACATTACGTTAGTGACCCTGGGTATTTGGATGTCTAATAGAAGGAGTTCCTGACCTAAATAAGAATTTGAGGTTAAAATGCAGTTGCTTTGCTCATCACTGAAGTAGACATGAATATTTGCTGATTTTAACAAGACATCTTATTTTCCAGGATAATTTTTTAAGCTGTAAAGTCAGAGTAATGGCGTATAGGAAGGAGTACTCATTGGATATTAAGTTAGTCCAGTGCATTAAAAACATTTCTGCATCTTCTCCTTCCAGGAAAGATACTGGACGTTAGTTAAGAAAAATCAGAATGCTTTGGTTTCTTCTTTAACTGCCTTTTTTTTAACCTCAGAGTATTTCCTTTTTTTTTTTTTTTCTACATTTATCACTGTTTCATTCCTTTCATGTGAAGAAGCCTTCTATATTAAGCATTATGATGGAAATTAGTCTAATAGTTTCAGTAAGTTCTGCTATGTTTTGTTTTGTGTTGTTTGGGGTTTTTTAATAAATCTTTTATAAAATTCCAATTTTACATAAGGTGGTTGTTTTCCTGCCACTTAGTTTTAAAAACTTACTTTCTTTATGGCATGGTGAATCAGTTCAAAATTAAATCTGTGTTCACTTGTAATCTGAAATGCTGCCATTAGGGGTTATCCAAACATTGATCTGGGTCTGTCTAAACTACTATAAATTGCTGGTTCTTCTTAGAGTTTGGATTTTGTGTCTGGACTGTGTTTACCATGATACAATGTCTTTTTTTCACCTGGTATTATGTGGTGGTGGCACATGGGATAGAGCTCATCAAATCATAAAATGAAAAACGGATTCTGATTAAGATTATAATAAGTTAAATCAAGTATTTTGATATTTTGCAGTTTTAAAGTAATTGAGTGTTTTGCATTTTTCAGAAGTTAACTTTAGAGTTTCAAAGTAGATGTATCAACAACACAGTTTCCTACAGGGCAGAAATAGGTTTTTATTTGTTTTCTCCCTTGAGCAGTTCTACTTGTGGCTTATTGCAAAGTCAATAAATGTAACGTGGGAGTAATTTCAAATAATCAATATGGCAGAAATGCCAAGTATGTAATTAAATTGCAATGTTAATCTTTCTGAGCCAGAACACTTTGACTGAGAATATTTGGATAACAATGGGAAGTAGAAGGAGGTCCTTTTGAATTTTCAGCGTTGAGGTCTGAAGGAGTTTATTACTAATTTGTAGAACAATTCAGCTGTGTTCATTAGCAATGCTCTGTCATTAAACTGTTTTCAGAGTGTACAAAAGTAGTTAAATTTCAGATGATTTGTAGTCTTTTGAAAATGTCTAGTGTATAGTAATGTGAATGCTTGTCACCTCCTGACTATAAATTTTGCAAAATTAATTCTGATATAGCTGCAGAGCAACTTAAAAAAGCTTTCCGTTAGAAAAGTTTAGCGGCAAACATGGTTTGTATGAAATTTTGTAATGAAGAAAAACTTGAAGCAGGAGTTGACTGAAAATTAATTTCTAATTTGACAAGGTGTATGGAGACACTTCTGTAATTAGAATAGTTTATTGTCATGCTACTAATGTGGAAAGTTGATTCTCTGGGTTTTTTTTCCTTAATAAACCAACAGATTTGTGTTATTAATCAAGACAAGGCCATTTGTCTTTACACAAAGTCATAATATTCTTGCTATTAATTTGTAGTGGTATCAATTGGGTCATCCAAAGTGATTAAAAAATATGGCTCAGAGAGAGATGGAGAAGATGCCTCAAGTGAAAACAGATGTAGCCTCACGTGCTGTCACCTTATGATTCCCTTCATCATTATTTCTAGCTTAGGTTTCTCTAATGATAAATCTGGAAGTAGAAGAGCATTTGTACCAGATTTTACTAGTGGCCTGTAATGAAAAAACAATTGAGCAAAACTCGTTTTTGTGAAGCCCTGATATTTTAAATACTAATAATAATCCAAGTTGGTTTGAATAGCTGCATTTTATAAAATCTTTTCTACTATGAATGACAAAAATCCTGATGTTAAAAACACCATTTACCTCTACTGGGGCAATAATACTGCAGTTCCTGGTGTATATGGTATTCCATCTCAAGTGCTTTGTTACCTAATCCTGCTCAGTGGATTATGTGGTGGCTGGAGGAGTGCTGGAATCAGTCAGGAACACGGGTCCTGCTGGCTGTTGGGCCCTGCAGCCTCAATGAGTTAGTGTCCTGGTAATCTCCCTCCTCCTCCCCAGCCAATTACTCATACTACTGTCAGCAGGCAGATCAGTACCTGCTTTGTTTTTAAAAAATGTGGTCATTTCTGCCTCTGCTGATGACATTGCAGTGTTACATAACGGCTTTACAACAAGCTCAGAAGGCCTTTGGAGCCTATAAAAGAAAAAAAACTGGAGTAGTTATTGAATGGCTCTGAAAAATAGATTAATATTATAACTCATTATTGTGCAACAGCAATAAGCAAGCTACACTACATAGGTTGACCTTGAATTTGCAAGTCAAATGTGAATTGCAGTCATTGAAGCACTGCAGTAATCCGAGGTGATTGATTTGACTCTTGAACCTTAAGGACAATTACTTTGTTTAGAGAGGAAATGAGACGTTTAGAAGTGAAGTATTGCAGTTCTGTTAGAACCTGGAAAACATACTGCAAGAAGAACATGCAGTAAAAGCTAAGGCATCACAGACTTTTGAATTGACAGTTGTTAGCTGAGCTATTCTGGTGCATACTGAAATCTAAATTGTGTCTGAAGTTGAGTAGAAAATGGATTACGAAGGTAGCTATAAATGACAGAAATAGTATAACTGCAATAGGTAGTGTTAATGCACTGTTGGAAGCTGAAAAGTAGTTTTTTGTGTGTGTGTTCTCTTATTTGCTAAAAAGGACTTGTACAACTTGAAATTTAATTCTAGGAAGGAGAAAGCCATTACCTGAAAAAAAACTTATGAACTACATGTACCAGTTATGCAAATCTCTTGATTACATACATAGGTAAGAGACCTGGTTCAGCAACAGTTTTACAGTCAATGTATTTATTATACATTTATGTCAGGGTCATCTCTAAGCAGAGACCTACAGCTGTCTGGGGCAGCAGGCTGCTGCAGGGAGAGAAAAGGCCTTTGCCCAGATGCATCTTTGCCTGTAGCAGAGCCCTGGGAGGCAGCAAGCAGGCAGCCCATGCTGCTGGCAGCACCCAAAAGGGTCCTCAGCAGCTGCTGCAGGAAGCCCTTCTGGGAAGGGGTGGCCTTTGCAGTCCTTTGGTAGACCTGGTGAGAGTGAAAGCAGAAAGGCTGGCCTCCCCTCCCTAGTCTTACCCTTTCCCCATTCCCATACCTGTTGTGTCAGCATGGTGGAATCACTGATAAAGTTTATCTTTTAACTGAACTTTTCTCTCTTGTGTTTATATTGATACAGAAATGGGATATTTCACAGGGATGTGAAGCCAGAAAACATATTAATAAAGGTAATTACTTTTATGTGAGAATATTTAACTGAAAGTGAAGCATATCAGTATTTTTCTCTTTACTCTGAGAAGTAGTGCTTGTTCATTAATAAAAGTATAGTTTTAAAATACTATAGACCATTACTTATCATACTGTATTCCTGATTTAGAGGAATGAACAGCCAAATTTGTTGTTAGCTAAAACCTGAAATGGATTGGATGTGTTACAGCCTGCATGTGGTCACTCTGATCTACAAACCTGTTCTTTATCCTCTATCAATAGATATTTTCCTTTCTGTGTCAGCCTAGGAACAAGCAACAGGATTCAATAGCTTGCTTTCTGCATCCAATTCCTGCATTTAGTGGAAGTTACTCATACAAAAGAGAGTAGAAACTTTCAGTTTATTTCTTCATTAAAATCTACTCTCCTGAGCATGTTATTTTGCTCATGTCTGAAAAGGAAGGATTTCAAAATTCTGTTTAGGACATTTTCTTTTCTGGCGATAAGTTTTTTGTTTAAGTTTTAGAAGTGTACATGAGGAGCCATGACAAAGAGAAGCCAAAACCACCTGTTGCATCACTGCGAAATACAAGAACTCTAAGAAAATAACTTCATCCAGATGTCCTATTTATCATCCTGCCCTTCAATAATAGTCCATATTCTTTTTAATTAACTCTTAGCTTTTTATTTTAATGATGTACAGAATGGTGTTTGCACATATTATGGGACACAGGTATCTTCAAGCTACTTGGTATTTCAATGCAGTTTTACTGCCATATTACTATCCTTGGGATTTCTCAAAGTTTCTCCTTGAAGTATCTGTGGTTGTTTTTTTTATGATGACTACTTCACACGTTTAAAGAAAATCTTTGCTTTAATATTTTGGCATTTCTAATTAATCAAAATACTTTGTTTTTGCAGAAGAACACCCTGAAGTTGGGAGACTTTGGATCTTGTACAAATATCTATTCTAAGCAGCCCCATACAGACTATGTCTGCACACGCTGGTACCAAGCACCTGAATGTTTGCTTACAAATGGCTACTACAGTTACAAAATGGATGTTTGGAGTGCTGGCTGTGTTTTCTATGAAATGGCAAGGTACAGTGTTCAGTGGACGGTTTTGCTTATTATGAATCAAGAAAGTAAAAATATAACTCAAATAAGTAGCACATGTTGTGGTTATTATGATCTTTGTTTCCATGGTTTTGTGGAAGCTTCTTTTGTGATTAGTCTGCAGGGCTCATGAGGCAGTAATCCTGTCTTGTCTGACACTCTGCACCCTATGGCAGGTTAGGAGTAAAGCTGTAGGATGTTCAAGAGAACATAGTACCAACAAATATTATTTACAAGCAAAATAACATTTTTAAACAGTTTGTTGGGGTTTTTTGATTGAGGTTTTTTGATTATTTTTTTTTGTTGGTTCTTTGGGTTTTGTTTCCATTGGCTTTGTGTTTGAGTTTGGTATGAACTTGTTTTCTCTGCTTCATCTCTGAAGAGAGGAGGGCTCATTTCCTGCCATGAGCATCACTGTCTGTCTTCAGACTTAAAGCACTTGATGGTTAAATTTTTCCCTCTTTTTTGACTTGCTCTTCTGCAAAGAACCTTTCTGGTTGAAAGGAAGGAGTCAGAGAGTTGTAGTCAATGGGGCAGAATCTGGTTGGAGGTGTGTGACTAGTGGAGTCCCACAGGGGTCGGTACTGGGACCGGTGTTGTTCAACATCTTCATCAACGACCTGGATGAGGGTATAGAATGTACCCTCAGCAAGTTTGCTGATGACACTAAGCTGGGAGGAGTGGCTGACACACCAGAAGGCTGTGCTGCCATTCAGAGAGACTTAGATAGGCTGGAGAGTTGGGCGGGGAGAAACATGATGAAATTCAACAAGGGGAAGTGCAGAGTTTTACATTTGGGGAAGAACAACACCATGTCCCAGTACAGGTTGGGGGCTGACCTGCTGGAGAGTAGTGTAGGTGAAAGAGACCTGGGGGTCCTGGTAGACAGGAGGATGACCATGAGCCAGCAATGTGCCCTTGTGGCCAAGAAGGCCAATGGCATCCTGGGGTCCATTAGAAAGGGTGTGGTTAGTAGGTCAAGAGAGGTTCTCCTCCCCCTCTATTCTGTATTGGTGAGGCCACATCTGGAGTATTGTGTCCAGTTCTGGGCCCCTCAGTTCAAAAAGGACAGGGAACTGCTCGAAAGAGTCCAGCGCAGAGCTACGAAGATGATGAAGGGAGTGGAACATCTCCCTTATGAGGAAAGGCTGAGGGAGCTGGGTCTCTTTAGCTTGGAGAAAAGGAGACTGAGGGGTGACCTCATCAATGTTTACAAATATGTAAGGGGTGAGTGTCAGGGGGACGGAGTTAGGCTTTTCTCAGTGATGACCAGTGATAGGACAAAGGGTAATGGGTGTAAATTGGAGCATAGGAGGTTCAAGGTGAATATCCGAAAAAAATTTTTTACTGTAAGAGTGACAGAGCACTGGAACAGGCTGCCCAGGGAGGTTGTGGAGTCTCCCTCACTGGAGACTTTCAAAACCCACCTGGATGAGTTCCTGTGTGATGTACTCTAGGTGACCCTGCTCTGGCAGGGGGGTTGGACTAGATGATCTCTCGAGGTCCCTTCCAGCCCCTAAGATTCTATGATTCTATGATTCTATGAAAAACAGAAATTAGAAAGACATTCCCTTTGATTTATATTGTAGTGTCTAAAACTCTTGCACAAGGATCTTATGTCCTGCAATATTTTGAATTTGGCTTCTGATGAAGGATGATTTCAGGAAAACCCAGATTAAAATCCTTTAAGCTTTTCAATGATGATGAAACTATAACTCAATGAAAATTGTTACTGGTCTTCAAGGAAAAAAAGGAAAAATAACCACCATGAGTATCTCTCCAATATCTTTGTGCCCTAGCAACAGCAGCAGTTCTTTATTCTCCTCCCACACTGCTGTCTCTGATATGCAACCAGGAGAGATAACATTTGTTTTGCTTCTTTCCTCCTCCTCCACATGGCAAGTGCAGCTGCCGCCATCACCATCACATTACATGACAATCCTTATGCTTTACCTGCTAACTTGTAGAAACAGTTCTGCTTTGGTCAGAAAATTGTTAACAGAAAAATCCCAAATGTGGAACTTCCCTTACAAAGTAAATTGGGACCAAAAGCTTTAAAAATGTTGGGGTTTTCCATTTCAGTTTGAATCAGGTGGGCTTTGAAGTTGGGCGAGAAAGTGACACACTGAAAACTTCAGTTTTCTTAGGATAAAAAGCCTTAAGGATATTTCCTCATAATTCTAACTTTCATTCTTCGCAACCACTGCACATTTTCAGACTTGATAGGTGTGATCAGAGAGAAATAAGGAATGTTGATTGGAATTTACTGAATTAAAAAAGATATGGCTTTGCCAAGCTAAAGGAAGTTATTGAGAGGTTTGTTTCTTTTTAATGCTAGTGAGCATTTGTGGAAGCCGTTATGCTTTACATTTTACTCAGCCATGCTTATCTTTTAAACTTTGGATCTCCCTCTTTCTGTTCCTTATAAATCATGGTTCCCAGATTAGATTTTTTGTGGATTGTCCTTCTCTAAGTTAAAGCTCTACATTTAGAGACAGGACATTTTCGTAGTTCACGCAGAAGCTGCTCCCAACTGCTTGTCTCAATATAGCTGCACAAGATGAATCAGATCTCTTTTTTTCTGCTTCCTCTACTCAAAGCTTTATAAAGACCTTCAGAGCAGTGTGCAGCCAGCTGTTTGAATTTGCAGTTACAAGAACTCTCCTCCTTCTGCTAAGAGGGCTGAATGTGTTGCTTTCAAGAATCATGTGATGCTACTGAAGCATTTCTTAAATTGTAAGCCCAAGGAGATGCTCTGCTAACATGAGAAAAGGCAACATGTGCAAGAAAAAAAATGTTAGTGGACCTAACTTGTTAAGTCAGATTTTTCTATTGAAAACAACATTTTCAAGGACTCTCTGCAAGTTTTCTGTTAGCTGAGGATCAAGCTTAGGAATGCAGTTCAAATTACCAACTTTCCAGTATTGCTGCTTGCAAATAACCTGTGTGTTAGGAATGGGATGTTTCTTATATATTTCTATGTGCATGCACAACAAAAGGGACTGCTTGGCTCTGCTCTCTTGAAATGAGGAAACCCATTGTCTTCTGGGATCTGCCACTTCACTGGAAAAAACACAGTCCCATATCCATTGCTTTTCGCCAGGAGGGATGTTCTCTTTACACATCAAAAGAAGCAGGGCCCCCTCTGCTCTTGTGAGACCCCACCTGGAGTATTGTGTCCAGTTCTGGAGTTCTCAGCACAGGAAGGACAGGGAGCTCTATAGCGAGTCCAGAGGAGGGCCACAAAAATGATGAGGGGGCTGGAGCACCTCTCCTATGGGGACAGGCTGAATTGGGGTTGTTCAGCCCAGAGAAGGTTCTGGGGAGACCTTGTAGTGGCCTTCCAGTACCTGAAGGGACCTACAGAAAAGCCGGGGATGGACTTTTTACAAGGGCATATAGTGACAGGACGAGGGTGTAGTGATTTTAAACTGGAAGAGGGGAGATTTAGATTAGACATTAGGAAGAAATTCTTCACTATGAGGTTGGTGAGACACTAGAACAAGTTGCCCTGGGAAGCTCTGGATGCCCCATCCCTGAAAGTGTTCAAGGCCAGGTTGGATGGGGCTTTAAGCAGCCTCGTCTAGTGGGAGGTGTCCCTGCTTATGCAGAGGGGTTGGATGTCGATGATACTTTAAGGTCCCTTCCAGCCCAAACCATTCTATGATTCTATAATATTTTACCCCAAACCTGTGAGGAGAGGTCAACTATAGAGTTCTGTTTAAGAACCCAAACTGCTCTGTCCACCCAGACACACAGTATTAATCTTTGCTCACGTGTTGTCCTTCAGTTGTTTATTGGTATTAAACTGCTCACAAATTAACAATTCTAAAATGTATCTTCCTCATAAATGAAAAAATTTTAACTGAAGTGGCAGGGGTGCCACTTTAATTTAATTGTGTCTTCTCAAGTGCTAACACCATCTCTCACCTTGCAGTTTTCAGCCTCTCTTTCCTGGATATAATGAGCTGGACCAGATTTCCAAAATCCATGACATTTTAGGCACTCCTGCTAGCAAAACTCTCCTCAAGTTCAAGCAGTAAGTGTGTATTCCCATGGTTATTAACCTCACTGTTTGAACATCCACACTGTAACTGTACAACTGTGTGCAAGTTCTCCTCAGGGAACCACCACCAAAATCTATTTCTGTTGGCAATGCTGCTGACCAAAGAGCCATGTCTCTTACCCCTGCCCAGAGACACACAGCGTGATCCTTGTAGACAGAGCAGAGGAAATCTGAGCCTGTATCAATTTTATTTGACCTTTTATTTGTTTAAAGCAAATGACATAACTTATTAGGAAAAAAATTTTTTTTCCAAGTATTGCTTGTGTCCCTAGTAAATGGTTGTCTACATCAGATGAGAATAATTTTTTTTCACTAAATTGTACTTTTCTCTGAGTGTGCATAAATAACTGTTTTCAACTTGCTTAACACAGGCCAAGAATTGCCAGTTTTGATTTCCCCATTAAGAAAGGAAAAGGAATACCTCCTCATGTGCACAATTTGTCTGCCAAAGGCTTCTCTCTCCTGTATGCAATGCTAAAATATGACCCTGATGAGAGAATTGCTGCCCATCAAGCATTACAGCACTCTTATTTTCAAGAACTCTGGCAAGTAACTTCAAATCACTTTAATCTTGAAGACTAACATTAAAAAGTGGGGGGAATGATGTGTGCTTATAATTTCAAGTGGACTGAAATTAAGTTTGTTTACAGTGCTAGTACATAACTTGCAATACAAAGAGTGGAATTCTTCGCATTGAGTTCAAACTTGACCTAAAGCACAACTGATATTTTTCTCTTTATTTTTCTTATTTTCCCCAAACTTTTTAGGGGAGCTGATACACAACCTTTGGCCTTGCACAAAAAAATAAGATTACTTGGAAATAAATCAGGGTCGGTACCTCTGCATTTGTTGCAAGTTTCAAAGGGAAGTCAAAGACAGGTAATATTTAAGTGGGAGAACTGTCAGCCCATTTAGAGAAAGTAATTTGTGACACTGAGCTTGTTAGCTAGAAACAAATGTTTGACTTAAGATAATTACTTGGTTTTATTCATCTGCCTAAGCGCTGGTCTGGATTGGGCCTGATGCAGTTCCCTCCCCTCCCCCTGAAGCCCTGAAACTCAAGTTATAATTTAGAAGCTGTGATACCACTTAATCCTTTCAGTAGGCTCTTGTCATAGTTGCTATTACTTATAGGGTCAGTTCTATGTAGGCTTTTTCAGTATCATTCTCATTTTGTTGAAGAGTTGTAGCAGAGACAGAAAAGGTGTTTCTGCTTGTTTCTGTCTGCAATCTACATTTTGAGCAAATAAATATGAGGGGTTTTTTAAACTTAACTATCCCGTGTTTGCCTGGTATTTGGGAAAACCCTAAACTTGTATTTGATGCTGGAAATAAAAAAATTAAAATCTGATTAAAAATTCTGGCAAACTAAAACTTTGTTTATATTAAACCTATGTGAAAAAAAGCTCAACATACTCACTCATAAGGGTTTGCTCAGTCTGCAAAGTGACATTGAAGTTAGTATTACACGAAAACTTTGTTTTTGAGAAAAACATGTTTTTCTCAAAAACAAATTACAGTAGCAAAAACCTCCAAACTTCTGTTGTGCATTTAACCTTGAAAGCACAAACTCTTCTTCCATTGGAGCAGCCACTTTTTCCACCACTTTAGCTCTGGGGTTCATCAAGTTCCTTAGGAAAAATTGCAAGAAACATAAAGTGAAGCATAAATTTTGAAAAAAGAATTAGCTAAAGTAGTATTTGGCTGAGGTTCTTGGGGATTTTTTCCTAATAATTTGAATTTTCTTTTACTTTTATTCCTTAAGCTGCCCTAAGAAAGGAACTGAATCTTGTTTATTTATTTTAAAAGCATTATGTTGGGCGAGTCCAGGAAAAAACAAAACAACATGGAGCTTCTGGTACAGAATTACCAAAAATCAGTAATTCTGGACTAGCCTCACTGCCTTCCTGCTCTACTCCTACATTACATTCTGTTTTCCAGCCACCTAAGGAAAATGGTGAAGCCTCCGTGTTGCGGTCCCTTAGATTTTTTGGATCAAACATCAAGGTATAGATTCTAACTTGTTCTTCAAGGTGCAATGGCAAAAGGTATTTTACAGAGCGGATTTCAAACTTCTGTTGTTTCCTCAACAGTCTGAGAAACAGAAGGAACTTAAGTCTTCCCTGAACCATTTCCACTTACCTGCTATAGAACCAAGAGGAGGAGGTTACCAACCACCTTGTAAAGCACCGGAGTGTGAGAAAACACATGGCCATGCAGGGAGAGACCGACTTGTGCTGCCCTTGCCAGAGATCTCCCCAGCTCAGCAGCACCTTGTTCTGTGTTTCTCTGACAATCTGTAGGCAAAGCCCACCAGGTTATGGAGGGCTGTTCACCTACCATTGTGGTGTTCTGTTCCCCAAGGGTATCAGTATTTAATTAAAGCTTTATTCTGGCAGAGCTCAGAGAGCACTCTGTATTGAACTTGCTAAGTATTTTTTCCTTTTAGAACCTGATGGAGGAGGAGGTTGGTTAAAAATATCATGAAAGGATTCTTTCAGCTTCAGTATTAGTAAGGGAATGTGAGATACAAAATATGCATTTTCATATTGTGTTAGAAATGAGAGGTAACCTTGGTGATTATTTTTTTTAATGTAAAAAATATCTTTCACTCAACTCGGGAGTGTATTCACCTCCTATATGTAATAACTTCAACCTCAGGTTTTATTGAGAAAGTGCAGGTAATGCAATCACTTGAGATACTTCATTTTGATGCAGTTTCTCTAACTGCCAAATATTTTAGTAACTAAAATCTAGCTAAAAGCTGAAGTGACTTTTTATCTGATTCAAAAGCAAATGAAATTTAGTCAATAGTTTTCTTCATGCCATTGATCTTCATCAAGTTTTAACAGTGACATTGCTAGTTGCTTACAAGAGCAGTAAAGGAATCTATCTTACTGTGCTTCAGAAATTTTGCACACAGATCATCAGTAACAATTCAGTGTTACTGTTTCCTAGTGCCATAAAAGGCGAGAGTTAAAAGGCCTTTACTTGCAAAGAGTAGTTCCTGCAATTTGATACCATTGATTTTTTAACTCCTGAGAGCTCTAAAAGAAATTGCAGTCACTAATTTACAGTACTGAAACTTGATGATGTGCTGCAAAACAGTTTTGCTATTTGGAGGAAAAAAAAAAGTTTGTGCAAGTAATTCTTGGCTGGGAGTTTAAAAATCTTCTGCTTACCAAGTGTGCACGAAAGGGATTTTGCAAATAACATTTTTTTGGATTCTTTAAGAGTTCTAAAAGATACTATGCTCATAGTTGGCAAATTATCAACTTTTTCACCCATCTGCCTGAACCAAATACCTGTGGGGCTGCTCTGCTGCTGTGCAACAACAAAGTGAAACCCAAGCAGTGGGCGCTAGAGGCAGGCAAGGGCGCTGTTGCATTGGAAGGCTCCGCTGCAGCCAGGGCGCTGTGGAACAGGGCACTGGGAAGCAGAGCACAGGGGAGTTACTAAACCAACCCTTGAGCAGCAATTTGAGATGGATGCCCAGAGTAGCTATTCCAATCATGTAAGATGCAGCTCAAACAGTGCAGTAAAATACACCTTAACATAAAGCTTTTATAAAAATACTACTTATCTAGAGTAAGTTATGCCCATTATGCTTCCAGCTCTTCTGCTGACATTTTAACAGGGTATGCATTTGTGATAATAACAATTGTTCTCACTCAATTACAGGTTTTCCAGAAGGTGGCTTTTTTGTTGTGGTTTCTGTTGCTCAGCTCAGCACTGGCTGGATTCTGTTGTAACTGCTTTAGATCCTGTTCCCTCTTCTGTCATTCAGCTTCCAGATAACTTTGAACATGCCCAAATTCCTCACTGTAACTTTTCAGTGTTGGGAAGAGAGACTCAAGTCCCTTACGAGTCTTTTTGAGTTCTACTGCTTACGAACACCCGTCTATCTAAAGTTCATCTCCACGTTTTGAAGAAGGTATTGTTTTCATACACAGGGCTGAGGTTCAACATGACAGGTAGTAGCAGATGTTCTAAGATGTGAAAATATCAGCAGGCTAAATATTTGCAATGCATACTGTGGGAGTAATTTTTTGCTATGTATTCCAAGTTGACTATGCAAGTTGTAGATCTTGCACCTGCATCATGGCCTGCTGTGCCTTTGCTCATTTAATTCCAGTTTTTCATAGTGAACTTTCAGAATCTCAATTGCAATAATGGAAAAACATCCCAGCACTGGCAAGAATTCTTGTAAAATAAGGGAATAGTACATGAACAAGGCTCAGCAGGGAACCCAGTTTTGCTGCTACTCACCCCAGGTATGCCAGAGAAGTGGCAGATTTCTCTTACTAAGACTGAACAAATACATTACCAGAGTTTTAGTGGGAGAAGTGCTGTACACAAGTAGAGTGAGAACATCACAGTAAAGGGGGAATTAAACAGCAGAACATACCAGGATAGCCAACTGCTCCTTCTCATTTTATTGCAACACATACTGGATGGTTGCTGTCTTTCCTCCAATTCCAAGCAGAAAATATGCTCCTGACCATGGTATCTCGATGTGTAGAGGGGTACATGAAGACTGGCTGTTGTACTGCTTTGTTACAGTTAATAATCTCCCTACTTTCCATGCTTTCCTGTTGGCAGCTCATACTGATAGAACTGATGGACAACTTCAGTAGTGATTCAGTACAGTATTGGTTTCAGTAACTATATTGAGGGCTGGGGGAATATATGTGAAAGAAAGGTGTGATTCTAAGCTTAGGAAATTGAATTAATGCCTGCAGGTGTACAGGCAACAGTGACCTCTGGCTTCTTATCTTTGGAACTCTGAGCTGAAGGTGCCAGGAGCTTATCCAGGTGTGTTGGGTTTTTTTTGTCCAGAGAAGATGGTGAGTTGATAGGTATTAATGTCTTTGGAGTTGGGCATGGTGTGCAGCAGTAAAAATGATGGTCTAAAAACAGGTAACTTACTGTTCTGAGGGATCTTGCTCTCCACTTATTAATTTCTTACAAGGTTAAAAAACCCTACTACCCATATTTGGCTGATCATTCAGACTCAGAGCTCTCTTACCTAGCACCATGCAGTAGGCAAAGGCTCATATTATCAGGACTATGTTCCTGATGGAGATATGCTACTTGTATTGGTCACTTCCCATAATCTTATGCTGGAAACCTCAAACCACAGATGGTGAAGTTGAAATAGTTCAACAACAATAAAATCCCCTCAAATCCTGTGTTCACAAGATACTTTTCTGCTTTCAGATGTGTTACTGCAACTGTTAGTTTCTATAATTAATATCAGGCAGGTTATTACTTTACCCACACACTGGGAAAAGTGTTTGTGGTATTTTTTTTTGAAAAAGATAAAAAAATCAGACTTTTTGTTAAGTTTTAACTTGAGGAGAAAAGGCTATCAGAGTAATATCTTGTACATTACTAGCGATTCTCTCTAACATACTCTTTTTATCTCTGGGGCTGTCATAATGAAAAAGGCAATTTCATATTCAGCAGATATTTTTTCCTATGAAAACTCTGTATTTCAAGTGCAGGACCATAATGGAATGTTTTCTTCATTTATTTTACACTTTCAGGTGGATCTTACACAGTCTGGCACACACACTGCTTCACAGGTATTTATTTTATAACCAGTTCTTTGCTGTTAAACCTCTGGAGACATCTTATACTTCTCTGGCTGTGGGATTAGTAGGCATCCCTCAGTTTTCCCACCTGCTTTGTGTTTAAAATATACCCAACTTTAAACTCCAAACTGTATTGTTTCTACCCTCATTTTTCCAGCTAAAATTTCATATTGATATGATCCACTTTTCCCTACTTTGTTAAAAAAAAAACCCACATTATTTATTAAGAGCTGCTTCTATAGCAGAACTCTAATTTCTTTCCAGGTAAGTTATCAGTATCCCTTTTCTGCCTGAAATATTTCTTTTACCTATGGAATAAAGGGTGGGATGGGAAATACAACCTTCTAGATGATTGTCTAGTAGTAAAGGAGAGGCTGAAAAAAGAAAAGCCACGTACACTCCTCGTGTGCTGTTCAGCTGTGATTTGTAGCAGGGACATACTCTGCAAATGCATACGAAGGAGCTGCTCCTGTTACCCTTATGTTGGAGACTACACTTCTGTCAGTACCAGTTTTGTTTTTCTAGCTGAAGGACAAAAGCATTTAAAAATTATTATATATTTTCTCAGCTGTTTCATTTTTACTCAGACCATATGAAGCACTTACATATTCTACAGGGAGATAACTACACTAGTTTTCAGTGAGGAGGTTTATCTGTATTTTAGCAGTTAAACCCACTCTGTTAATAAAACAAAACTTCTGAACAATAATCCTGCTCAGTTTCAGTGTTCTCCCCACTCATATTTTAGAATTTAAATAGATAAGAATCATAAAGTCCAGCTCCATCTTTAATGAAGTCAGCTCCCTAAATGCCAGCTGATAAATGCATCTGGCACTTCTCTACATGGTGGTTGCATCACAAGACTTACTAACAAGTACCTACTACAGTTGTTTCCCCCCAAATATTAATTCATTTTCTGAAAAAAGCTTAAATTTTCATGCCTGAAAGTGTCTCAAGCTTACTTGCAATTTAAAAAACTTCTACCAGAGAGCAGCAAGGGCACTAACATGTGGCCCCCACCATAGCATGTGAACACATGAGTGAGTTCCCCACTTCCAGGCAAGTCCTGCCCTGCCTGCAAGATTCCGTGAAAACCCAACTGTGAACATTGCTACATAGGATTAAAGGGAAAGATACAGCAGGTATTTCCATTTTCTGTCCTTTAGAGGCTTTACATGGAGGAAAAACCCTTGGGGGGGGGGGTTGATCTTTGCAAGGACGACTGAAACCAATGTAAGTGTCCTGCTGCTGCCTGAAAATAATCTGTGCTGAGACCAGCAGCACTGAACTGCACCAATGGGTACATCTACCTCCATAGCAATTAACAGTTTCAGAGTGTTGAATTATATATTACATGCCTGATTTAAGACAAGTTTTCTCAGAAATAACAATCTGCTCCAGTGTGTTGACTTAATTTTAGATTGCCAAGTGAGAGAGTGTGTGCATCTCCTACCACTGGATCTTCCACTTCACAGCTCCCCAGGAAAAATACAGGGGTTACAAAATCCCACAAGGATGTCTGTCTGTAATATTTCTGCTGTATGATGTATTTAAAGATAAACCATTAAGCATGAGAACAGAACAATGTTACTTCACATTCCTAATTGAAATTCAACCATATTAACTATGAAGCAATGTTCTAGATGAGATATTTTTGAAAGGAATTTGTTCTACAAAGCTTAGATTATATTTCTGTACCAAACATT